ATGGGGGCCAATAATTTGGATGCCCATCAGCCCCTGAAAGTGCATAGTGCGGTGGCCAACTTCCAGGTCACGGGCGAGAGGCCGTTAGGGAACAAACTTTCTAATTCCTCTTGACTCCAAAAGAAAGGAGCGGGAGGGAATGTCAGAAGGCTTGAGAGCCAAGCAAAGAGTAGAGCCCAGAGGCCCTGGGTTTCCTAGCAATGGTTCTGACCCCACGGCACTGGAGGGCCTTCTGAAAACCATGTTCTCCCAGATCTTTTACTATCCCCTCGTGTCTTCCTGGGTCCCAAATTCTATTTATCTCTACAAACCCCTGCCTCTTTCTCTCCTTGTGGTTTGCATGCTTTGTTTGAACATTGATAAAGGATTGGTACTGGCTCTTTCTGGTATTTTTCAGTCAAAAGGTCCTTTTCATTGCCTTTTCCTCCAAAATTAAATTCAATTGCTTTTCCAGGTGTTTGAGAAAAAGCAGAATTGCACTAACAATTAGAGGCCAAGAAACCGGCTCCAAACAAAGGGGAAAATGGTGAAGGGAAGCCAGGGCAATTCCCCGAGGCAAGACTGGTCCTAAACCTGAGGCTAAATTTCAGTCTCTCTCTCTTTTTATTTTTAAGAGACAGAGTCTTACTTTGTCACCCTCGGTAGAGTGCTGTGGCATGACAGCTCACAGCAACCTCCAGCTCTTGGGCTTAGGCAATTCTCTTGCCTCAGCCTCCTGAGTAGCTGGGACTACAAGCGCCCACCACAATGTCTGGCTATTTTTTGTTGCAATTTGGTCTGGGCTGGGTTTGAACTCTCCACCCTCAGTATATAAGGCCGGAATCCTACCCACTAAGCCATAGGCACTGCCCTAAATTTCAGTCTCTTTAAAAGCAAAAAGGAAAGAAAGAAAATCTTTAAAATAGGGCAGTGACTGTGGCTCAGTGGGTAGGTCACAGGCCCCATATATCAAGGGTGGTGGGTTCAAACCTGGCCCAGGCCAAACTGCAACAAAAAATAGCCAGGTGCTGTGGCGGGCGCCTGTAGTCCCAGCTACTTGAGAGGCTGAAGGAAGAGAATTGCCTAAGCCCAGGAGTTGGAGGTTGCTGTGAGCTGTGATGCCACAGCACTCTACTGAGGGCAATAAAGTGAGACTCTGTCTCAAAAAAAAAAAAAAACCTTAAAATGAAGAAAGGGTTTGGTGCTTGTAGCACAGTGGTTATGGCACCAGCCACATACACCCAGGCTGATAGATTAGAACCTGGCCCAGGCCAGCAAAACAACAATGACAATGGCAACAAAAAAATAGCTGGCATTGTGGCAGGGTACCTGTAGTCCCAGCCATGTGGGAGGCTGAAGCAAGAGAATCACTTAAGCCCAAGAGTTTGAGGTTGCTGTGAGCTGTGATGCTATGGCCCTCTACGAAGGGTGACATAGTGAGATTCTGTCCAATAAATAAATAAATAAATAGGGGAAGAAAGGAGGCCAGATGAGATGGCTCACACCTGTAATCCTAGTACTCAGGGTAGCTGATGAAAGGTTACGGAACAAAAGATGAAAGATTATTCTGAGGTGCAAGACAAAAGAAAAATGGAGGCCCTGTTTGTGCAATTAAAATGGCTTTATTCCACTCAGGTGAAGCTGGGGTGAGATTTCCAACCAGAAGGAAATCCACACATGGGTAATGGCAAATGGGGCGGGGAGGGGGGTGCTTGAAGGTCAGGAAGGTGAAATTAAGGGGTTGGGACATTCCCTTTCCTGGGTTGGACATCTGTTGTAAGGGTAGAGGGTGGCCTATTTACCTTTCCCAGGTGGGACATCTGGGAGGGTAGGGTAGGGAATTGACTCATTTAGGTTTCTTAGGTGGGACATCCAGTGGGAGAGGATAGGGGGTTGATTCTTTTGGCAGATCTACCCTGTTTTGGTGGAGTTTGACCCTATCGTTCCAATCTTTTTTGTCTATTATAAGGAGGTGGGATGATAGGCATGGTATCTCTTTGATTACTTCCTGCAGGTGGAGGGGCTGCATGGCCTGCCTGTAAAGAGAACGGGAGGAGGAGGAGACTGGGGTATGGGAATGACATTTATAGGAATGCTTTGGATTTTTCAGTCTGACCTGGTTGGTATCCAGTAAGGCAAGGATATGAGTAGCTGTTTTCTGGTGACTGGTTAATAAATCAAGACATGTGGTGGAAGGCTACTGGTTCAAAACTGAGAATGAGAAAAAAAATCACAAATAGTGACCTTATCAGACAATAACCAAAGAGGAAGATGGTCAGTGAGAGGCAGGAACCAGCTGGAGTTGCCAGGGCTGCCAGCAATCCTGAGAGGATATCTAATACCCATTACCAAGATCTCTGCCCATTTTTAGAGGATTTTTATTAGGTGGCAACATGAATGAAGTTGCTCCCATGTTTATTAGAAGAGAAAAGATCAGCTTACCTTCTATAAGCAAAAATACCTAAATCTCAGTTTTCCAGGACGGCATCCAGGAGGCATTCTGATTTTTCCAAGGGTAGTCCACCTTTTGCAGCTAGGCTCAGGAGGGAATTTCAGCCACATTCTGAGAGTGTCTACACCAGATCTTCAGAAAGACCTGGGCAGCCAGACCTCTGCAGGCTGGACACAGTTTGGCAGGGGATAGATTTGGGGCACTGCTTTGCCTAGAAGCCTGGCTTGCTGCACTTAAATGATGATCGTGAGTAAGATTTTATTTTGAGGGGGATCCTTGTAGAGTTTTAAGTAGCCAGTTTTGCTTAGTGCCAGAAGACAATACTGGAGTTCTGAGAGGCACTGGCCACACCTTGAAGGCCAGATGAATGAGATCTCACTGAGAGGTCTGAGGGCCCTGGGGAATTTCCACTATTTTTTTCTACCATGTTCGGTGGAAGGTGGAAGGGGCAGTGCAGAGGGGGATGTGGTATTGTTTAAGGGAAGGACATGGGCATGGGGGTTGGAAGGCAATGAGAATGGGTGACTGGCAAGAGGTTATAGGTGGAAGAGAGGTATCCCACACAGAGAAACTTCCCTGCGTTCTGATCAAGAGAATGGAGGGATGGTAGGAGGGGAGTTGGAGAGGAACAGCAGGGGCTGTGGAAGGTATCAGGAGAAGCTAGTGTAACCCAAGCTAGGAGAATCTGAGCGGGTTCATAGGGTGAACACAGGGAAGGAATGTTTCAGAATATGAGAAATGCCTGGATATAAGGGATCTCTGACCATTTGCCTAATTTTTGACAGTAATTATTGAGATCAGTGAGAATTGAGAGATCGAAGGTGCCACACTGAGGCCACTGCAAGCCATTGTCAAGCTTGTACATATGCCATGCAGTATTACAGAAAAAAAATGAGACGTTTTGGTTTGAGGGCAGCATAGAGCTTTAGAGGCTTGAGATTAGTCAAAAGGCAGCTTAGAAGTGAAGAAGGGGGAATGTGTGACTCTGGAGATAAAAGGCAGCTTAGACGTGAACAAGGGGGAATTTCTGACAGAGTAGTGCTCATATCAGAAACTAGAGGTAAGCAAGGAAATGAGATTAAAAAGGAGATTGTAGGCTGTGCACCCATAGCTCAGCGGCCACATGCCCCAGGGCTGGTGGGTTCAAACCCGGCCAGGGCCTGCTAAACAACAACAACAACAAAATAGCCCAGCACTGTGGCAGGCACCTGTAGTCCCGGCTACTAGGGAGGGTGAGATAAGAGAATCACTTGAGCCCAAGAGTTTGAGGGTGCTGTGAGCTGTGATGCCATGGCACTTTACCAAGGGTGATAAAGTAAGACTCTGTCTCAAGGAAAGAGAGAGAGAGAGAGAATGCAGGAGGAAGAAGAAGAAAGTCAGACCAAGTGGAAAAAATGGTGATCCAGACCTCTGGAAGAGCACTGGATGGTGAGCTCACCTATCAGAAATGGTCCAGCCCACAGTAGAGCAATGGACAAGCCTGATTCGTTGAGTATGGCGGTGGGAGATTACCCAGACCCTCTGAGTACTGATATTGGTCAAAAGAGGGGCTGACCTCTGCACAGGACCTTAACCAGCCAGAGGGGTTTAGGCCCACAGTAGGGCACTAGAGAAGGCTGGGGGACCAACCAGAGCTCAGGCCTACACGAGGGCATCCCCAAACACAAGGCAACACCACCTGCTGGGCAAGCCACCTGGCCCTGTCCAGAATGCAAGGGGGAACCACTAGAGGGCAGCCTGACCTCAGAGGCGAAGTCCTCCTGGGACAGTGACCCATCAGCCCCCAAACTGGACAGAGGGTGCCCAGGGCAGATTCTTATGGCTTCAGCTTGTGTCATCACCCCTCAAGAGCCCCGGGTTTGCCTCATAGTGGAGGGCCAGAAGACAGTATTTCTTCTGGACACTGGAGCAACCTTTTCTGTACTCCTCTCTAACCTTGGTCTTCTATCCCCCAAATCTGTAACTATAGACGGGTTGTCTGGAAAGCCAGTAACCAAATTCTTCTCTCATCCTTTAGGCTGCCATTGGGGGCAACTTGCTGTTCTCTCATGCCCCCTAATCATGCCTAGAAGTACTGTTCCCCTTTTAGGAAGGAACATACTAACTAAAGCAGGAACAACCATGGTTTTTTGTTTTTGTTTTTAGACAGGAAGTAGGATTTATTATTGGTAGACTCAACTGATAGGCAACACAGTGTTAAGTCCTTATGAGTGCAGGGCCTGCCACTTGTCCAGGGGGCCACGACTGGGGATGTATTTGACCCCACAGCCATCTGGGATGAGCCGCTTCTCAGCCACCATATCTTCAAATTCGTCTGAGTTAAACTTGGCAAAACCCCATTTCTTGGAGATGTGAATCTTCTGACGGCCAGGAAACTTGAACTTGACCCTGTGAAGGGCTTCAATCACATGCTCCTTGTTCTGTAGTTTGGTGCAGATGGACATGATGATTTGGCCAATGTGAACCCTGGCCACAGTGTCCTGGGGCTTTCCCAAGGCACCAGGCATACCTGTCTAGAGCCTAGATGGGATACAGCACAAGGTCTAGCACATGACCATGTATTGGAAAGGAATGTCTCCAAGGTCCCTTAGAGCAACCTATACAAGCAACAGGCTGCATACGCTACCAAAGAGGCTGCTGTTTGTAGCAGCTGCACACCGGGCCCCCAGGAGGAAAGGCACAGGAACAACCATGTATATGAATATGGACAAGAGCCTGTACTATGCCTTCCCTTATTAGAGACAGAAATTAACCCAAAAGTATGGGCTACCAAGGGACAGGTGGAAAGAGCAAGATATGATTAACCAGTCCAAATTAAGTTTTTAAAATCCCACCATCTATCCCAATCAAAAACAATACCCTTGGCCAGGTCTGGTGGCTCACGCCTATAATTCTAGCACTCTGGGAGGCTGAAGAGGGTGGATTGCCTGAGCTCTTAGGTTCCAGACCAGCCTGAGCAAGAGCAAGGCCCCGTCTCTAAAAATAGCTGGGCTTTGTGGCAGGCACCTGTAGTCCTAGCTACTTGGGAGGCTGAGGCAAGAGAATCAATTGAGCCCAAGAGTGTGAGGTTGTTGTGAGCTATGAGGCCATGGTACTCTACCAAAGGTGACCAAGTGAGACTCTGTCTAAAAAAAAAGAAACCACACACACACACAATACCCTCTAAAAGCAGAAGCTAAGAATGCGCTAATACCCATAATACAGAATCTAAAGTGACAAAAATTATTAATACTTTGCAACAGTCCATGTAACACTCCTATGCTAAGAGTTCTACAGCCAAACAGGACTTGGAGACTAGTACAAGACCTCCACCTTATAAATGAAGCAGTCATTCCTTTCCATCCTATAGTTCCCAATCCGTATATTTTATTATCTCAAATCCCTGAAAGAGCTGCCTGTTTCACAGTCCTAGACTTAAAAGATGCCTTCTGCATTTATCTTCATGAGAATTCCCAATACCTTTTTGCTTTTGAAGACCCCTCTGACTCTAACACCCAACTTACATGGACCATGTTACCCCAGGGATTTAGGGGCAGCTCTCACTTATTTGGACAAGCTGTAGCACAAGACTTGAGTCACTTCTCATACCTCACAGTGACTCTTATTCAGTATGTAAATGGCATTCTTTTGGGAGTACCAGATGCAGAGGAATGCCACAAAGCTACCCAAGCTCTATTAAACTTTCTAGCTGATTGTGGGTACAAAGTTTCCAAGGCTAAAGCCCAATTATGTGTGCCTGAAGTGCACTATTTTGTTCTCCGACTTTTACAGGGAAAGAAAGCCTTGGGTAAAGAAAGAATAGAACCTACATTAGCTCACCCTAAACCTTGGACTCTCAGACTTCTGCAGACTCTGGATTCTTGGATATAGTGAAATAGCTAGTCCATTCTATTTTTTAATTAAAAATGCTCAGAAATAGTGCCTGGTCACTCTATAATGGGAATCAGAGGCAGATAAGGCATTCCAATAGCTGAAAAATGCCCTTTACAGCCCCTGCTTTAAGTCTTCCTACAGAACAATTTAAATCTATACATTACAGAGCAGACTGGAATTGCCCTAGGAGTGTTGATCCAATGCTAGGTCCAGTTTTGCAACCTGTAGCTTATCTTACTAAAGCAATGGACACCATGGCCAGGGATGGCCACACTGTGAGTTGTAGCAGCTGTGACCCTCTTAACCCTGGAGGCAACAATTGAACTAACTTTGGGAAGAGACCTAATTACCCCAACTTGGGGGAGTCCCTTTCTTTTTATCTTGTCTTCTACAGCTGTTAAAGTTATGGGACTAGATTCCTGGATACATAATTCATGAGTGAAATCCTGGAACTCACCACCTCCTACAGAAGCAGACCATGAAGAGAATCAACCACAGTCCACCTACACTTGTGAGCCTAAAGATTTGAAGTTATTATTTACTTGTGAGCCTAAAGATTTGAAGTTATTATTTAGAAGCCAGCAAGAGATGACATCATCAGGCTACAAACATTGAAAAGGGTTCCAGCCCAAGACCTGACTCTACTGTGGACCCCTGGACCATCCTTCATCTGGAGAAACTCTAACTGTCCCCTTCCATTGACACAGGGTTCCCCCATTCAAGCCTGGACAATAGACCCCAGTTTCCTCAGCCTGGGCAATTTCATGAAGAGAGTACCTTAACATTTTGCCCCAAGCTAGAGGTATCAATCCAGATTTCCATTTACTGTGAACCCTGGATGGCCCTCTTCTGAGGAACTTTAACTGCCCCCCAGCACTGTCCATCTTCAGCAGGAAGCAGTTTGGAGCAGTCAGCTCCCCTTTTCCCTAACGGCAGTTAGAGCTTCTATTCTGAGAGGGAGTTTTCACACAGAATTCCCCCCATTCAGGGCTGGACAGGGATTCCCCCATTATCTAGGCCCAGATGAGCTCAGAAATCAGACCCCCAATTCCAGGCACAAATAGATTGCCCTTTGCAGACCATACCCTCTGGGCTCTAATAAGATCAGGACCATAGTAGCCTGAGACTTTTTTTGGGTGGTCCCATCTCGAGTAGGGAAAACACACTCTAATCCCTTCCCTGAGACAAAAACTGCCAAGACCTAATAAACTTGCCCCCGGGGGAGGGGGGGCTGCATTCTGCTTTCTTTTTTTCTTTTCTTGTTTTTATTTTTGTTTGTTTGTTGGTTTGAGACAGAGTCTCAAGCTGTGTCGCCCTGGGTAGAGTGCAGTGGCATCATAGCTCACAGCAACCTCCAACTCTTGGGCTCAAGCAATCCTCTTGCCTCAGTTTTTCTATTTTCAGTAGAGATGGGGAGTCTCACTTTTGCTCAGGCTGGTCTCGAACTCGTGAGCTCGAGCAATCCACCGTACTTGGCCTCCCAGAGTGCTAGGATTACAGGCATGAGCCAGCACACCCAGCCTGCATTCAACTTTGAAAGGATATTTTTCCACCTCCCAAATCCTACCCGAAATGTAATTCTCCAGACAATATATACCACTAGACAAAGGACCCAGGGGAACTTCTGACTTGAGTCTTCCCCTTTGCCAGAAGCTCTGGTACTTTTTACTCCTTCTGTATACCTTTCATTTAATAAAATCATATCTTACCACTGATCTGTGGTCTATGAATGCATTTTTTGAATACCTGAGACCAAGGACCTACTAAAGAAAGAAATTCTGGTAACAGAGCGGCACTTGTGGCTCAGTGAGTAGGGCGCCAGCCCCATATACCAATGGTGGAGTGTTTGAACCCAGCCCCGGCCAAACTGCAACAACAACAAAAAAATAGCCTGAGGTTGTCGTGGGCACCTGTAGTCCCAGCTACTCGGGAGGCTGAAGCCAGAGAATGGCCTAAGCCCAAGAGCTAGGGGTTGCTGTGAGCTGTGACATCACAGCACTCTACCGAGGACGACAGAGTGAGACTCTGTCTCTTAAAAAAAAAGAAAGAAAGAAAGAAATTCTGGTAAGGAAACCCAGAGGCCAAACCCAGGGCCTTATAGGACAGAGGCTCTAAAGTGACCCATAGTGGGTGCCCTCAGGGCTACCAGACCTCAACCCTGGCCCTGGGAAGACATGGTCCGGCCCTGGGGTTCAGGACATATGTCTCCACCCTGGAGTGTCTGAGGGCACAACCCTGCTTGCAGGGTCTTGGAAGAGGCAAGCCCTTGCTCTAGAGCTGCTCAAGAGGCCCGTAGGGCCTACGTGGGGAGAGGGAAGGGCTGCACATAGGCTAAGCAGAGTCATTCTGCCCTGCAGCTGGGGTGGACAGAACAGACAGCTGTGCGGGCTGTGTAAGGCATGGGGAAGGGAGCTGAGCCACACAGCTGCAGCTCCTTGTCAGCAAGGCAGGGAGATAATACTCCCGACCCCCAGAGTTGAAGACCAGTAAATTTAATTTTAATTAGTGAATTAAATGCTGCTGATACTCTCCCTATGTGATTCTCACAGGCTCTGGCTCAACTGGGCTAGATGAACAGCCTGGGCCGAAGAGGCGCTGGGCCCAGAGGGAGGCAACTCACAGGCCTGGGCCTATGTGCAGGGGTGGCAGGTGAAGACACCCCCACTTCCTGACAGAGTCCTAGGAACCCTGCAGGCCACTTTCTGGGAGCAGTTCCCACAGTGGAGGGGCTGTTGAAGGTGAGCACGAGCGGAACAAGGGTGGAGGGACAAGGTCAGGGCAGGAGAGGAGAAGAGGCCAGCGTGAGGCATACAGAGGGTGAGGGCACAAGCCTGGCCATGGCTTGAGCACCTCTACAGGAGACCCTGGTTTGGAAAGTGACCTTGGTAGCCAGGACAGGAAAGGGCTAGAGGCTGGGCACTAGTCCACAGAGTAGAAAGGACAGGTTCCAGAGTACTTAAGGTGGGCCTGTTGACTTGGTAGCTCAGACACCAAAGAGTGATCCCAGCAGAACCAGATGGGCTGTCACCTGCACCAGGCTCTGTCCTAACCCCTAGCATGAGATGGGGCAACCAGGGAAGTCCTCTCTGATTAGGTGACATCTGAGCAGAGACTGAATCCCAGGGGGCAGGGGATGGGAGGATCAGCCATATGGACTGGGCAGAATAGCAGGGGCAAAGGCCAGAGGAAGCCAGGAGACCAAAGCCCCAGTGCACTGATGATGGGCAGAAAGGAGGTACAAGGAGAGAACTGAGAGTGTCACCTTCTCAGGAGAACATGGGTCGTTTTTATTTAAAAGATTCTCAAGGAGGCCCTGGGTATGATGCTGGGGTGAAGATACCTAGCCACTGGTCTACAGAGAGAGGGTCCCGGACCCCAAGCCCCTGTGGTGGTGCAGCCCGGGTTCCCGGGGCCATGGAGCTCATACTTCAGATAACAAGATGAGGGTGTCAGGAGCTGCCCCACCCTGCCCCAGAGTAGGAACAGCAGGAAGAGGCTGCTGACTGAAAGTGTGGTGGTGTGTGCAGGTTGAATAAGAGTTCACCAGGGTGGAGACCAGGGCTTGGGTTCAGTGGGGCATGAGTGGGCTACAGATGGGCTGGCCACAGATGCAAGGCTGGATTGGTCTCCGCTTGGTGTGGGAGCCAGGGAAGGGGACTGGAAGGAGCAGAGTGGGGGCAAGTGAGTCCCAACCCAGCAAGCCCCCATGGCAATGGTGGGGGCACCCTCTCCTCTCCCTGCACTTCCTGCCCTCCCTGGAGCTCCAAGGCCCAGCAAGTCAGGGGGAAGCTAGGCAGCTCCTGCAGCTGGTACCACCTCCGCTGCAGGCAGCAGCACAGGTGAACAGGACGCTCCAAGGCTGACCACAATGACGTCTCCTTCCCCTCCAGCTCCAGAGGTCCAGGAGGGAAATGGCAGTCCCTGGCCTGGTGCCTGGTCCCCCATGTGAGGCCCATTGTTTGACGCTGGACCTGGTGGGGGCCACCGGGAAGGCCCCGGCAGTGTCCTTCACCCTACTTACCACAGATCCAGAGCTCAGAGTGAGGACCCAGAGCAGGTGGCGCAGCAGAAACTGGCCGGATGAAGGCACTCAGGGCTGTCCTGCTCACCCTGCTGCTGTGCCGGCAGCCAGGTGCAGGAGCAGCGGCAGGGGCAGCCCTTTGAGTTCCTCAGCCTGGGGGCAAGATGTGGACTTAGGGAGAGGAGGGGATAAGGCTGCAGTCCCCAGTCAAAGGGAGGGAAATGGAGCCTTTCCTGGACTTCTATGGGTCCCCAGACACCTTTGGCCCCAGCCAGGCCTTAGGGTCTTCCCTCTCCTGCCCCACCCCAGGCTCAGCCTTTCCAGCACTACAGGGTTTGGGGACCTGGCTTTTCTCCCAGCCTCAATGTCCTCTTTTGTAAAACAGGCAAGCTATAAAGAAGGTTTGTCTGGGGTGGGACCTCACTCAGCTGCAGGACAGGAGTGGACAAGCAGAGCAGGAACGGGGGCTGGTGCTCACCTGGGACAGAGCAGTGTCCTCTGTACTGAACAGTTGTTCACAGTGCTCCTCTGTGACCAGGGAGAGGGCAGGCGCAGGAGGAGGATCACACCAGGGACGACGAGTTGGATGACGAATCAGACGACCTCGAAGAGGAAGATGAAGATGAGGACGAAGAAGAGGAGGCCAACGCTATCCCTGGCGGTAGGGGCAGAGGTACCCCTCCACCCCCACTCTGGGCCCTGTGCTGCCTGGAGTGTGCCCTCCACATGCAGCGTGGGCACCGCCAGCTGGGCGCAGCTTGTGCAAGAGACCCCTGGCAGAAGCCTCCACTGTGAGCGTGCCTCCAGTGAAGTGGGAGACATTCAGTGCACCCCTTACCTCTCAGCCTCTCGTGACACTCCATTGCCGTCTGGAGTGGGGATGGGCAGGAAGGAGCTGCTAACTGGCAGGGTCGGTGGTGTGTGCAGGTTGAATAGGAGTTCCCCAGGCGGAGACCAAGGAATACAGAGGCCCCAGGGGTTGGGTTCAGTTGGGCATGAGTGGGCAGCGGCTGGGCTGACCACAAGCAGAGGGTTGGGTTGGTCCCCACTTGGTGTGGGAGCCAGGGAAGGGCACTGGGAAGAGCAGAGTGGAAGTGAGTAAGAACAGACAGCAAATCCTCTCTACTCCCTAGTCCCCAGAAAGAAAGCAGAGCAAATTGCCACATCCCACCTGCACCCCAGCCCCACCCCTGCCCTCTGGCTTTCTCCCCCTACACCTGCATGGTGTCTCCTGCTGGGTCCCTCTGCCAGGCTGGATGCCCTGAGGCGGGGCTAAGTCAGACTCACCTGCAGTCCTCGATGCCCATGGCAGAGGGAGAGATCAGCAGAAAGCCCACCCTCACCAACACAGGCTTCTGCACAGCTCAGAGTGCTGGGCAAGACAAGGGCTCGCTGGCCCATCTGAGCAGGGGTGCGGGAGGCTGCAGCAGGGCAGGCTTCTGGGAGGTGACAGGGACATGGAAGGTGACAGGGACATGGAAGGGCACAGGGCACAGGGCACAGGTGAGGAGGGCACTCCTGGGCCTGAGCCCGGCCTGGCCTCCAGGGCTGCAGTGCTACACCTGCCCGGCCCTGCACAGGGAGGAGCTCTGCGACAAGACACACAGCTGCTCCGGCAAGGAGACCTTCTGCAAAACCCTTGTCATCCACGGAAACTCTGGTGAGTACACACAGGACCTGGCATACCCTGGCGCCGAGAAAGCAAGAAAGCCAGGTGTTGCCATCCACGCTTGAAGGGCCCGCCCAGAGGGAGGTAGAGCCCCCTTGGAGGCCCCCTGCTCAGCCTCAGTCCCTGTTCTCCAATCCCTCCAGAGTCAGGCCTCCTGACCACCTACTCGATGTGGTGTGCAGACAGCTGCAAACCTACCAGCAGGACAGTGGAGGAAACCCAGATGACCGTGACCTGCTGCCAATCCACCTTGTGCAACGTCCCGCCCTGGCAGCACTCCCAAGCCCAGGACTCACCACCCAGTGGGACAGATGGCTGTGAAAGTGTGGGCACAGCCCTTCTGCTCAGCCTCCTCACCAGCCTTTGGGCAATGAGGGCCTGAAGACCTGGCCCACCAGCTTCTCCACCCCAGCCACCCCACTGACCCACCCTGGCCCTGCCAGGGCTCTGCCTGTGTTTTCCCCTCCCATCTCCACCCCACCAGTTTTGGAGAATAAACTTGGAGGTCTTTAATGATCCACCCTGGACTGGCTTCTCCCAGCCAGGTCTGTTTCCTCAGTTTCCCCACTGGGCAGCCTTGGTCTCCATGCTCCTCTGTGAGCAGTGAGTAGTAGCACGTGTGCCTCAGGTCCAGGCCCCCAGATGGGTCCCAGGGCGAGAGGAGGGGTCCCTCAGCCCAGGACAGGCAGAGATGACACCATACTCCTGGTCAGCCCCTAGAGTCTCCCGTGAACTTCCCACAGTGGAAATTCTTCCATTCTTGAGCTGCTATGTGGGTCAAGCCCTGCCCTTTCCTGACTCTGCCTCCCACCTGTCCACAGGGAAGAGGCTTTGGGAAGCTGCCCTTTCGGGAAAGGGGCCCAGCAGTGCTGGAGGGTCTGGAAGTGGGGCAGGGAAGGTGGAGGTTATGAAGGGGGAGGAGCAGACAAGGGAAGGAGAGAGTGAGGGTCAGCTGAGGTGGGATTTTCCACCCCCCACCCCCACGGGGAGGGGGGGAGCACAATAGATAGAGGAGGAGTGGGCAGCAGCGTCCTGCCCACCGGGGAAGGTGGGAGGCATGTCCTTGGGCTCCCCAGCTCCTCCTCTGGCTGAGCTGGTACGTTGGCTGCTGGACACTGGCCTTCTTGACTGTGCCAAGCTTCTGTCCTGCTGCCAGGACAAAGCCCTGGAGTGGGAGAGAGGAGGCCCAGCCTGGATCTCAGTTTCCCCATCTGAGCAGTATGGGGCAAGATTTAAAGAACCCCTAGATCCCCACCAGCTCACCATTCCATGCTTTGGCAGTCCAGATCCCACCTGCCAAGTTCATCCCAGCAGACAGGGAGTGGCTTCCACTACTTATTATCTTCTTTTCCTTATTAATAAAACCCTTAATGCCTAGCTGGGGTGGGGGCAAATTCCTTAGGTGGAGGTAACACATCTTTCTCACTCTTTCTCTTCCCCTTCCTCCTTCTTGCTGGCTGAAATGATGACTGGAGCTCAGCAGCTACTTTGCACCATGAGGCAGCACACTGAGAATGGAAAAGGGGGTTTTCCCAGGTCACTAATGACCACAAGGCCTTCTACCTGCCCTGTACTGCCTTACCTGAGAGGGAAATAAATTTTTACCATGTTGAAGCCAGTTATTAAGGGTTTTTCTATTGGTTGCATTTTCACACACACACATGCACACTTGTGTATACAGCTCAGGGGTCAGCCCAGGTTCAATTCTTAGATCAACCCTTTACCAGCCTCATGGCCCCTCAGACCTCTGCCCAGTCTCCTCCTGGTGAAGAGGGAAGCATGGGCGAGCCCTCAGGGTTCAGCAGTCACTGAGCAGCTGTGTGTCAGGCTTCCAGCCCCACACCTGGCTCAGTCCCCAGGAGCTATTGTTGTCGACACACTTATGATGCCCGCCGCTCTTTGCTTCCATCTGTGTGCACATTTGTGGTTAATGGTCCATCTGTGCTACCCAGGCTCCTTTACAAGAGAAAAAACTTCACTAGCCACCGCTGATCTAGACACATTTGTTACCTGCAATCATGAAATTCTGCTTTTTGAACCACTGCCTTAAAGCCCTGCACAGGTCTGAGTGGACAGACCCCCCTCCACCTCACCCCCACCCTCACCCCATCTGATCTCACGGAGAGCTGGGGCCTCAATCTGAAGCCATGGAGCCGGGCACCTGCAGTCCCAGCCACTCAGGAGGCTGAGGCAGGAGGACTGCTTGAGCCCAGGAATTCAAAAGCAACAGAGAGAGATCCTGTCTCTAGGGAAAAAGAAAAGTTCTGAAACAGTTTGGAGAATAAAAAACAAAGAAAAAAGAGAACCCATTGGCAGCAGGGCCTGTCCTGGCCTTGGACTCCTGCTTAGGTGACAACTTCTCTCAGAGTTCTGAGGCCCTGCTGGCAGCTGTGGTCCCCCATCCCCAGCCCTGAGGAAACAGAAAGCGCAGCCAGGCTCCTCACTGGGGTTCTAGCCTGCCCTTCCCCAAGGCACAGGAGGCAGCTGGCCTTGGAGTGGCTTGAGAAGTGGGCAAGGCCTTGACGCAGAAGACAGCACCCATCCCCACCACTGGTCCCCAGCAGCCCACAGAGCTCTCTGTCCTGGCCACCAGCTCAGGCTTTGAGCAGGCGGAGGGTACTCCATCACAGCCACAGAGGAGAGGCTCAGAGGTGAAGTTGTATCTCCAACTCACAACTAGGTGTTGGCAGATCCAGTATCCAATCCCAGGGATCCTGCCTACCGAAGTTGGCTTCCAGGGGATGTCAGGAAGGGCCAGAGGTAGGGAGAGACTGGATGCTGGACTCCCAGGCCGAGTCCAGTTGGAGCCAGGTGGGTCAGGTGCCAGCACTAGTGACAGCCAAGACATCCTGGGGCCTTCCCAGAACCCAGGGCATGGTGCCAGCCCCAAGAATAAATAGCAGGGCGAGGTAGGGGCCTATGTGGAGAGGCAGAGGGGAAGAGCCAGGGGCCCTGCCATTTCCTAGGGCTGAGTAACTGATTCCCACAAACTTAGTGACTTAGAACAAAGCCAGTTTACACTACAGTTCTGCCTCTCTGCTCCTGGCCGTGGCCCCTCTCTCCCTGCAGACCTCACCTCCCCAAGCTCTGCTTCTCTCACTAGAACACCCCTTCTATTCACAATGACCCCATGGTTCCATTCAGGCCCATGTGGACAGTCCAGAGCAGCTGTCCCCACTGATCTGAAAGCTCTGAAGATTAGGACTTGGGTGGGTATTTGGGGACCACTATTGGGCCAGCATCAGACCCTCTCCGGACATCAGCCCCACATCTGCTGTGCTGGAAGTTGCAGACCTGGAAAGATAAAGCCAGTTCTGGAGACCAAGGAGCCCATGGCTCAGCAGGAAGGGGAGTTGCTAGGACACAGTCCAGGGTCAGACTTGGTCATCGGACCCCATGGTCATCTTCTAGCAAAGGTTTCTTTCTGTCTAGATGGGATTTAGACACTTGCCCTCACAATCTGCTGGATTTAGGCTTCTCAAGACAGGGATTTTTTGGTTTTTTGTTTGTTTGAGACGGTCTCACTATGTCACCCTTGGTAGAGTGCCGTGGTGTCACAGCTCACAGCAACCTCCAACTCTTGGGCTTAAGTGATTCTCTTGCCTTGGCCTCCCAAGTAGCAGGGACTACATGCATCTGCCACAACACCCGGCTATTTTTTGGTGCAGTTGTCATTGTTTAACCTGCCCAGGCCAGGTTTGAACCTGCCAGCCTCCGGTGTATGTAGCTGGTGCCATAATCACTGTGCTATAGGTGCCGAGCCAAGACAGGAATTTTTAAAGTTGAAATAGGATTGGCCAGTGTGAGGAAGGGGTGGAAAAATAAAAATTACGCAGTGGATGGACAGGCCCCACCCCAGGATCTCACCGAACGGTCTTTGAATGGCCCTTCCAGGTCTCTCCCATCAGCATGCACCCACAGGCCCAGGCCTGCCTAAGACCTGGATGTGGCACCCAACTCAACTTGGGGGACAAGCTCCAGCTGCACCCCCACGAGCTCTGGCTCCTCGCTGGTGAGGACACAGGAGACAAGGGCACCTAAGCCCCGGGGCTCCATCCTGGCTGGTGCTTACACAGAGATGCTGGACAGGGAGACCTGAGTATGGGCGCACATGCAGGGCTGTAGGAGAGAAGAGGGGGGAAGCAGACTCTGCGCAGCACTCCCAAGGCTGCCAGTCTCTCCCTAGAGCCCACCATGTTCCTCCCTCCTCCCCCTGAGGGACTGAGACCTCCAGCCACTGTTCCACTACCTCCCTCTGAGGGGCAGAGCCAGGGTTGCCTTGGAAACAGAGGTTTGGGAATAGCTCAGCTTTTTGTCTCTTAATTCACTGGCCCTAATAGTGACATCTAAAGCCAGCACTGGAGCAGATGGGGAGCTGGGTGGAGAGCCCCCCCACCCCTCCCGGGAGACCCTCCCTCCTGGGGACCCTCCAGGATCCTGTAGGTCAGCTGCACCCAGAAGCTTTGAAATGCAATGCAGGTCACTGTGCCACCTGCTGCCCTTGGGCTTTTGTCCTCCACACCAAGCTAGGTAGCTCATTAAGCCAGGGACACTGGGCTCCACCCTGCTCAAATCTCCCCTCTCCACAGCTTCTAATTTCCAGCCCTTGGCTCACGGTCACCGCACCAGGGAAGCACAACCCCACACACACACTCCCCACCCCCACCTCTGCAGTAAGGCCTTAACACACGCCCACACTGGCTTCCTGCTCCAGCCCAAGAACAAGATGGAGGAAAAAGCAGGAAAACATCTGCTGAGTGTCATCCTGCCAGTGCCCTACACTTGAGTCCCCACAGGAACATCACAGCACCTACACCCTTCAAGGTCCAGCAAGGGCCTCGGCCCGTCCATCCGTGTGGGGGAGAGGACGCTCTGTGGGCACCTGAGCTAAGAGCTCAGCTCACTCCCTGAGGTCTGGCTCAGGGATGCTTCATGCTGCAGGAATAAAAAGTCCATCTAATTGCACCTTTTAAAATGGAAGCTTGCTTTGTTCTGCTCCATAATGAGGATTCTGGAGGCAGTGGCTGCTACTATGACTCAGGGGCTTGACAACTCCAGGAAGGAGGGGATACACAGGGTTTGCAGAGCATGAGGGGACCTAGAATGGTCTGCTTCTGCTCTGAATGACCCCCAGGGCCTCCCCAGGCCCTCAGCCTTGCTCTGTGTGTTTGCTCTCCATTTGCCAACAACCCCCTCCCCTGTTTTCCTGCCTAGTGTGAAGGGAACTGGAGATCCAGTCTAGAATCTAGAACCTAGAGGGCTCAGGTCTTCTGTTCTCAGGCCCTGCCTCCTCTGGGGTTGGCTTCCAGGCCCTGGAGGACTTGCCCCACTCTGGGGGCTGGTTCCTAAGTCCTCCTACTTCAGGTCTCCTACAGTTTGCTT